AAATGAAACCTTACTGTCGAGATTCGATAGGTTTATCTTCAAACTATAAGCAAAAAATAAGATGACCTAGCAATTTCAAGAAATCTTTTGATTTGACAACTTACATATTATAGTCAAAAAAACTAACTCAGAGACATGTATTTATTCATTTATAATATAAATATAAAAAGAAATATGTTTCTTATTTTTTAATTTATTCTATAGACTAAGATCACAGAATATGCCTTTCGTGATAGATTGTCGCTTCCTATAAGATGAAAGAAAAATTTACTATAAAACTCTATAGATTCTGATATATTTATTTTACAGTATGTTGAATGCAAAGCAATTTGTCCAAAAAATGATAATTAATTACTCGTATATTTTGATTAAACTGATATTAAACTAAAGCAGTTGTTCGTAGCATTCTCGATTATAAAATTGTTTGACTGAAAAAAAGTTTGATAAAATATAAATTTCTATCATCGCAGTCAATATCGTATCGTGATATTGAGTAAATATACTTTGAATTAGTCATTTCAAACTGAAATAATATGACTAATCATCGCAGTCAATACCGTATCATGATATTGAGTAAATATACTTTAAATTAGCCAGTTCAAACTGAAATAATCTGTCGAATTATGCAACAGGAATAGTAGCGATACTATTTGTAGTTTAATGACATTATACTTGTCACAAATTAAGTCTACATCTTATTTTCTTCTAATTCTATCGTAATTTGCTGTTGATAGAAGTTTGATATCTACAACAATTAGATAACTAGATCTTCACTTAAAGCAAGTTCAAGTAGAAGAAAGGCGACTGACTGCAGAAGTTTAACAACTGTCATAAACGCGGAAAGTTGAACTATTTGAAATTTTGTTTTGTTTATCCTCAAAATCAATTAATTAAACTGAAATAAACAAGCCATCGACTAATTACTTTTCATAGACTAGACTATATCATGATGGATTTACGTCACAAGAATCGACAATTAAAATGTATATGCATATAGTATCTCATATATCAGTTATCGCATAATACTGAGTTATAGATAACCATATAAGAAAATCATCATGTGTTAATTAATGTTTTTTTTAAAACTATGTATCTCCCGCACGGAGTCAAATTTTAAAAAACGGTTTTCAAATGTACACTCAGCACGTTCTCACGAATATGGCAAGCTTTTTTCAATTGAAAATGTTGCTTAGGTGCTAAGAACGAGTGGCGGACTTGAATTTTGAGGGTGTGTGTATGTGAGATAGAAATAATACCCACGTCTACCCACACTTATACCTTAGCATAGTTGAATTTTCTTACTCAATCTATTTATTTAAAGAACATCGAAAAAGAAAGAATAATTTCAGTATTACAAACATTATTTGATTTTGAGAATATGTCTATTTTCTTTTAATTATTCATCGTTTTTTCCCTATGAAAATTATTTTAAAACAGAAGCGTTTATATTTTATTTCTGTGTAGAAAAGTTGTTCACAATGAAACATACAAAATTCAAAGCCATAACGCTATTTCTAGCAATTGTCAGTACTTATTTAACTATAGATATTTATTACATCTTTTAGATTTAAAATGCTTGTGTCTAACTCCCCAGCATGTACCAGTTATATATTCACCGCTGAAGACATTTTGATCTTTTTTTCTCATTAATAATAAACACTATATTTTACCTTTGTATGAAGTAAGAAGAGAAAGAAATGCCTTTCAAGGATATCAAAAACGCACATTCGTAACGACAATATCGAAATCATTAAATGTGTTGATTTCTTGTTGTGTCAGCATTATTTCTTGATAAGGTTTTGTTTCGTATCAATTCATGAACGATATTCTACGAAAAGAACAAAGAATCGATAAAGTCACTAAAATATAATATCAGGACTACTAACAAATAATGAATTCAATAGTAATATCATATTTTACAATGTAATTTCTAATTAAAAAATATTTCTTTTACTATTATATTTGTAATTATGGATGCGAATATGAAAAATATCCATAATTATTAAGTCATGTATACTCACTTTTATACCATAAAAATATAGTAAACGGCTTGTGCAAGGAAGGAGCTGATTCTGTTAAGGTCATCTGTGATCAATAAAAAAATACAGACACAGTTGAATTACTTCTTTTTGAAGAAGACAATCCTTCGTCTAAAATCGCAATTGTATCCGATCACAGGTATGGAGTTGTTTATGCATCATGAAACAGACAAAATGTGACGGGATACTGTTTTACGTGGAGGGATTGTGAGAATGAAGAATCGTATGTATTGGAGCTAATATGCAATTGAATAAGTCTTGTATATATGTCAAAAATGCTATTGTATGATAGCAATGATATATAGCAAGGGGGAAAAGCTGATTCTGAGGTATTAGAATTAGCTGGAATCACTTAGAATCCATAGAATTACATGGAATCATTAGAATCTTAGTAAAAAAGTAGAATTTCAGAAAACCAACGTCCCTGAGGAAAATGTGTTTGATTTTAGACACTCGAATCAACGTAATCACAAAATCAGCTGTTTTTCCCTTGCTCACATCCTTAATCTATTTGAAGTCTACATTTTCTTGGAATCTCAGAAAACATGATAGAGAAAACAGATATAAATACTGCAATCAAAATCAAAAATTGCAGGTAGATATAATCTTTTTTTCTAGTCGATTCTTTTTACTGAAAAAATACGGTGAGTATATGGAGTTCCACTTTTCAGTTATGCACAAAATTTATATAATCATACGTGATTATTACTAAACATATTACTTGAAATTTTAAAAAAAATCATATCAAAACGAACTCCATCATTTTTATTCTAATCATTGTAAATAACCGCATTTCTCTACTTTCAACCAACTAAAAGAATGAGCAAAAATATAAAATAATAAGCATTATATCCATATAGTATCGTTCCATATCCATCGTCGTGTCTTATCGATTTCAGGGGGATGTTTCCAATACTTCGCAGGTCTCGATATATGTAAGTCTTTTATTGATGGTACTTTATGTAGGATGTTTTGTTCAATAAGTATGGAAGTTTGGATAAAGAATAAATTAACACCCATTTTTTCAGCATAGATTAACGTATAATTATATGCACGACCAAGTGCTGCCATTGCTAACATACTAGCGCCGTAATAATCTGAACCTGTCCATCGGCGAAAATCTTGATCAGGATCAACAACACGATTTTCCTTTGGTGGAATTGCATAATTATATTCAATCACAACTACACGTGCATGAAAGCGATTTGCTTGTAGAATTGATTTCCATACAAAATAATCATCAAAACTGACAAAAAAAAGAAATGAAGTTAATTAAAAATCAAAATGTATGTTAATCCTACTCAATATCAATTGAAAGAAGATCAATTAGAGATGGAGTTTGATATTTTGCTAATAGATCATTGATATTTTTTGGTGTGATTATTTCTTTGTGAAGGTTAATATTTGGAATTTCATAACCTCCATCCATCATTAAACCTTGCCAACCTAGTTGTTGACGAAGAAAACGCGTATTACATTGTTGACCCTCTTGAGTACCGAATTCTACAAAACGTGGTGGTTTATTAACTGTACCAACGTTTGCAAATATCCATAAGAGTATTCCATCTTCACCATTCTGAGTGTAAATATGAAGTTCTTGGTCCTTAATTTGTTTCACCCAGTTTGAGTGAATATATGAAGTATCTCCTGTGATTGATGTTGTATTCTTCAGATTTCGTGTTGATACTATCAATTTCTTAGATTTTTCCCACGACAGCATAGATG